AACGTCAGCGACAACGTCAACATCAATGACAGCCGCATCATCAGCATCAGCAACGTTATCGTCGTTGCCGCCTCATTGTCGCCGCCATCGACATCAGCATTGGCATCGTCATCGCAATCATCATCACCATCACCATCACCATCACCATCACCATCACCATCACCATCACCATCATCATCATCCTCATCATCATCCTCATCATCGTCCTCATCATCATCATCAGCGTCGCCACCGCCACCACTACCACTACCCTCCTCCCCCTCGTCCTCCTCCCCCGTCCCCCCTAACATCATTATCAGCATCCTCGTCGCGATCAGCAGCATCAGCATCAGCAGCAATACCATCATCACCGTGGTGAGCATGAGCATGAGTATGACAATGATGATCGTCATCATCACCATCATCACCATCACCAGCAGCAGTAGCATCACCATCACCAACACCACCACCATCCCCATTATAATCCCCATCCTCATCCTCATACTCTGCCCCGTTCCTCCTTCCTCCTTTTTGTCAGCCCTCCCCATTCCTCACCCTCCCCCCCATTCCTCGCCCTGCTTCTCCTCCACCACCTCCTCGTCCACCTCCTCGTCATCCTCATCAGCATCATCATCAGCATCATCAACATCATCATCAACATCAGCATAATCATCGTCATCAACAGCAGCATCATCATCATCATCATCATCATCATCATCATCATCATCATCAGTAGCATCATCATTAGCATCAGCATCATCATCGTCATCAAAATCATCATCATCATCATCATTAGCATCATCGTCATTAGCATCATCATCATAATCATCAGCAGCAGCATCAACATCAGCACAGGCATCGTCGGCGTCACCATCATCATCATCATCATCATCATCAGCAGCAGCAGCAGCAACACCATCATATAACCAACAACAACACCATCAACATCGATATCAGCATCGTCATCGTCAACAGCAGTAGTACCCACGACATCATCAGCATCATCATAATGAGCACCGTCATCATCATTGACACCGGCATCATTATCATCAGCAGCAGCAGTGTCGTCGTCGTCGCCGTCGTCGTCACCATGACCATCATCAACAGCACCGCAACCCTAGTTATCATGATCATGACCATGATCAGCATCATCATCATCATCATCAACATCATCATCATCATCCTCATCAACAGCATCATCACCACCACCGTCACCACCACAATCAGAATCATCATCATCATCACCATCATAATCAGCAGAAACACCATCATCATCAACAACAACACTGTCATCATCAGCGTCGCCGCCGTCGTCAAAATCGTCATCATCATCATCAGCAGCATCATCAGCATCATCATCAGAATCATAATCATCATCACCAACATCATCATCATTATCATCATTATCGCCATTATCATCAGCATCACCATCATCGTCAGCACCATCATCACCATCACCAGCATTCACCACATGTAGCATCAGCATCACCGTCAACATCGTCATCACCAACACCATCACCACCACCATCATCAGCAGATGTATCATCATTGCAATCATCACCGTCACCACCACGACGGCCATCATCATCAACATCAACATCATCATCAGCACAACCGTCATCATCATTATCAGCATCCTCCTCAACCTCCTGCTTCTCATCATCCTCATCATCATGGGTAGCATCATACCTATCATCATCATGATAACCAACATCATCATCATCACCACCATCATCATCATCATCATCAGCATAATCGTCATCGTCGTCGTCGACGGCGTCGTCGTCGGCGTCGTCCTCATCATCATCGCAATCATCAGCATCATCATAATCACCATCATCATCAGCAGCATCATCGTCTTCGTCGGTGTCATCGTCGCCCTCGGCATCGGCATCATCAAGAGCAAGAGCATCATCAGCAGCAAGATCATCATCATCATCACCATCATCACCAGTGTGAACATAATCATCAGCGTCATCATCAGCAGCATCATCAACAGCAGACGCATCATCAGGAACATCATCGTCAGCAGCAGCATCATCGACACCGTCATCGTCATCGTCATCATCGTCGCTAGCATCAGCATCACCAGCATCATCATCGTCGTCGTCATCATCAGCAGCATCACCACCACCATCATCATCAGCATCATCATGAGCATCAGCATCGCCATCACCACCAGCATCATCATCAGCATCACCATCATCATCAGCAGCATCATCATCACCACCATCACTATCACCACCACCACCACCGCCATCACCATCGCGATCACCAGCACCATGATCATCATCATCACCACCATCAGCATACTTATCATTATCAGCATCAGCATCACCATCAGCATCATCATCACCATCATCATCAGCAGCAGCAACAGCATCACCATCACCATCACCATCGCCATCGCCATTACCATCACCATCACCATCACCTCATCATCAGAACCAGCATCAGCAACAGCATCATCAGCAGCAGCAGTATCATCTCCCTCCCTCCCTCCCTCCCTCCTCCCTCCCCCTGTCCCTCCTCGCCTCTCCGGGGCCAATGTGGCCCAATTGATGGAGTGCCAGCTGAGCCCACCCTGCCGCAGCGGCTAGAAAGGCAATACTGCGGCACCCAGGGAAGAAGCAACACACTTGCACTGTGCGCGCTATGGACGCATGGCAACGGCGTGATTTTGCATCGGCCCACACGCGCCTTGGCAACGCTGCAGAGTTGCTGTCACCGCAGCAGCAGGATGGCGATGTGGAGAAAAGGAGAGGCGAGGGTTCCTCTTCGTCCTACTCCAACTCCTCCTCTTCTTCCCCTGCCTCCCTCGTCCTCGTCCTCCTCTTCCTCCTCCTCGTCCTCCTCATCCTCCTCCTCTTCCTCCTCCTCCTCATCATCCTCCCGGTCCCCATCCTCCTCCTCCTCCTCCTCCTCCTCCTCCTGCTCCTCCTCCTCCTCCTCCTCCTCCTCCTCTTCCTTGCTCTTCCCACTTCGCTCAACGCAAAACGGGGAGGGGGAGAGAGACGAATAGGAGGGAGGATCAGATAGGCACCCGCATTCGCGCATCGCCTTTTCGCGACGCGCGGCCTGGGCGATCACCTTCGCGCCCTCGCGCTGCCCGCGCCGCCCGCCCCCAGCGGAGGAGGGCGGCCGCTCTGGCCCAGACCGCGACGTGCGAGGCGCGGTCATCGAGTTTTTTTCATACAGCAGCACCGTGACAAGCTCGGCGACGCAATCGTGAAGCCCCTGAGCTACCTCAGATGCCGCGCACACGAGTGAAACTGAAGCGTCCAGCCATATATAGACAGGCTGTCATACGGGAGATGGCTTAAATCCGCCGACCCTGCTGGCGTGAGTGAGACGTTTTTCCGTTTCAGTCGTCTTTGTCGCCGTCGCCGCTACCTCCTGTCCCTGGACCCTCCTCCTCCTCAAGCGATCCAGCCAGACGGAAATCGAAAAACGTCGAAATTGAGTCGAAGGGAAGCCCCTTCCCCTCGATCCCTTCCCGCCCTGGGGGGGGGTCCCGGGGAAGGGTCGCGGGGGGGGGGGGGGGGGGGGCCGGGTGGTCCCAGGGGGTCGTGACCCCCACCGCCCCTCGGGAAGTGGTCCGCCCCGTGGAAAGAGGGAATTCAAGGCCCCCCCACCTCCCGCTCCCGCCCCCCGGTGCCCCTCCTCCCGGCGAGACCCACCCCTAACCGAGGAAAATAACAAACCAAGGAAAAAAACAAACTGAGGAAAAAACCAAACCGAGGAAAAAAAACAAACCGAGGAAAAACACAAACCGAAGAAAACACAAAATGCCCCCCCCACCCCCCCCCGCGGACAAGGGGGAAAGGGAGGTGGTCCCCCTGTAGACAGGGGGCCCTCCCCCTGCAACGCACATGTGGACAAGGGGACCACCACCACCACCCCTCCCGGACCCCCCCAGGAGGCACCCTCCTCACTCTTATCTGCTGTTGCGAGGTGCTGCATATGTTCCAACATGCCTCCAATGAGGCCTCAGATCCGCCCCGAGGCGGCTCCAAGTGACCACGGAGCTTCCCAAGAAGTCCCCCGAGAGGCCCTCCAACAGAGCCCAAGAGGCTGCCGAAAGGGCTCCAGAGCGTCAGCAGCGCCGCCGCCGCTGCCGCCGCCGCCGCCGCCGCCGCCGCCGCCGCCGTCGTCGTCGTCGTCGTCGTCGTCGTCGTCGTCGTCGTCGTCGTCGTCGTCGTCGTCGTCGCCGTCGTCGTCGTCGTCGTCGTCGTCGTCGTCGTCGTCGTCGTCGTCGTCGTCGTCGTCGTCGTCGTCGTCGTCTTCGTCATTCCCCTTCAAGGTCGGCGGCACCGGCCGTAAGGCCTTCCCAATACATTGTCCGACCGTCGTCGCGCTTTTGGGAAATGACCTGGGAGGAATAAGCAGGTTTGGCATTACGTACCCATGCCACCTATCTTCGCCTTTCGCGCGATCATCGTCGCGCTTTTGGGGGTGACCTGGGAGGAGTGAGGAGGGCCGGGACTACCCATGCCACCGATCTTCGCCCGTCGCGTCGCGCACTCGCGCCGCCCCCTGGAGAAGAGGAGATCAGCTCTCCGGCTCAGGCAGCCGAGCTCGAAGCGCGACGGTCGTCGCGCTCCTGCGGGCGACTCAGGTCACCGGGGATACCAGGTTTCCAGAGCCCCCAGGCCCCGAGTTCGGGCCCAGATGCATCCACTTAGCAGGATCATGGGGTGCACAGTCAGGGCAAGGAGGGCGAGGAAACAAATCCGCCAACCCTGTCGGCGCGCGTGAGGGGGAGTCCATTCGAAGCTCTCGCCCGCTTTTCCTGCGGCCACCTGGGGCTCTTCAAGCTCGCCAGCCCGAGGTGAATCGACCCAGATCGTAACTGCGTCGAGGGGGAGCAGCTTCCCTTTGATCCCTTCGCCGCCAGGGAGGGTCCCAGGGAGGTTCCCGAGAGGGGGGTGCGCCTCTCCGCCAAATTCCCTTCCATTGGAGTGGCTCGGAAGATGCTGGGGCCAGTTTGTCGTGTGGCCACCTGAGCCTCCGCCAGTTTGTCTATCGTGTGGCCACCTGTCGGGGCCAGCCTCGGCTCGGCACTGGTGGGTGTCTCGCAGGCCGTCTGGGAGGGCCCGGGAGCTGGCCCAAGAGGCCAGAATCGGCTGAATCCCTTGGGCGTATGTGTGGTCTGAACGTTCTCGGCCGCATCGGTCGCAGGAGCCAAGACGGCCAAAGAACCCCCCAAAACCAGCCCAAGCTGGCTCAAGAGGATCCCCCAACAGAGGCACAAGAGATCCACAAGACGGCTCCACGAGGGGCCCAAAAGCAAGCCACTGTCGAACCGCTTGAAGCCAACACCACGAACATGATCCCAAGGCTTGCAAGAGGCCCACGGGAGGCCCACAAGAGGCCCCAGGACGCGCCAAACTGGGCCACAGAGGCCCTCAGGAGCCCCCAAAGAAGCCCCCAAGATCCCCGAAGAATGCCCCCAAGGCCACGGGAACACGATGCAGGCGCAGTGGCGGGATCGGCTGAAGACCCTCAGATTCTCGCACCCGCGTTGGAGCCACCGGCCCCTGCCCCCGTCCCCCCTTCCGTCTCTTTGCACCCGAGCTGCTCACTTCTCAGGGCCAGCGGAACCGCCCGAGAGGCCTCTGCGATACAGTCAGAGTCATCGTGCTACCTTCCATACGGGACGCTGAACACGGAACGAAGCGGCTTTTCTGGCCGCGGCGAGCCTCGGCAACCACGAGGTGCCCCGACCTGGATCTGAGGGAAGGCCCGAAAACCAGAGCCCCTCCTGAGCATTAGGGAGGGTCTAGAATCGAATCGATAAGTCGGATCGACGATCGCAATGAATCGGACCAGCGGAAATCGGCAGGCTACTAAGGCCTCCGTTGAGAAATCGGAGCCCAGATCGGAATCGGAAGCCGCATCGAATCATAATCGGAAGCCATCGGATCGAATCGAATCGGAGGAGTCGAAACGAGCCCCGTGACTGTAGAGCTTCGGGGCAGGACAGCCCCCGCAGCTTTTCACCCCGGATCCGTTTCTCACGGTCCTGGGGCCCGAACGCAGCTCCCACAGGCCGAAACGGGCAAGAAACCTTCCCGAACCCAGAACCCAGAACCTGTCCGCCCTTCCTGCTGGCCAGAACCAGTGCTGGGCCACCTCAGGCCCCGGCTCCGAGACTCGGGTATCCACGAAATGTTCCCAGGCAGGGATCAGTGCCCTGCCGACTGCTCGGCGGCGAGCCCAGGAAGGAAGTGAGAAGTGGCGGGCCTTCTCAGAAAGCTCGGAAGGCGGCCGGCCTTCTGCGAAGTTTTCTAAGCTTTCCCCCAAGACACTGGACACTTCTCCAAGGCCAGAGGGCCTCTGATAAGCCCCGGCGCCGTCTGAGAGGGCCTTCTCCTTCTCGCCCCCCCCTCGCTCGCCGCCGAACAGCAGCAGGAGGGAGCGGCAGTGCCCGGACACTCCAGGCCAGCGCGCTCGACCACCGCGGCGGCTGCGCCGCGGCCTCTACGGCCCCCACACGTCGCCTGGCCTCGGCTGCGCTGCGCGGGCGTCCACTTCGGAGCGAAACCCGTCGTACTCGGCCGAAGATCGGCGGCGCGCCCGGGGGGGGGGGAAGTGCTCGAGGCTCGAGGTTCTCGGCCGTTTCCCAGCCTCGGGGTGCCTTGCAGCGGCTGCGCCTCGCCGAGGGCGTCCTGGGGGTGCCCAGATCGCCCCGAACGGCCGCAGAAGAGCCGAGGTATGACCGAAAAGACACCAGGCGTCCAAGAGGGGGCAAGTGAGAAGGGGCGGGCCTTCTCAATGGCTGAGAAGCCCTCTGGCCCTCCGAGAAATCTTCTGAGCCTTCCCCGAAGACCCAGAAAGCTTCTCAGAAGGCCGGAGGGCTTCTGAGAAGCCCCGCCGCCTTCTTAGACGGCATACCCCCTCTCACTTCCCCCCGGGCGCGCCGTCGAGAAGAGGGAGGGCACCACCCTTTCCCACGGAAGCTCTCCCTGCCGACGGGGTACTCCTTGAAGCGGCCGTAGTCCCGGTCGTGCGTGTAGCTGACGCACTCGGCGTCTGGCGGGCCGGCCTCCTTCGCGTAGGGTGGCCGCTGGTAGCGGCCGCTCTTGCGGTACGTGGAGCCGTGGTTCCACAGGATCCGCCGACTCCTCCGGGCCAGCGGCGCGTGAGACCTCTCCGGTCCATTCCACAGGGGGTGGCCCACCTGCGAAGTTGGAGGCAGGGCGGACCCAGGCTGGCCAGCTTCGCGTCCCTGTGGGCACAACGCACCACTGGACATGCCTTCAGACGCCCGACATGGGTGCGGAAAGAATGGGTACAGAGCAACACATGTTATCCAAAATCCATCCACAACGGCCGCTGTTGGGCAAGCGGCCTCCTGCCTCAAACGGAAGACGTCCGCAGCGACACGGACAACAAATCATGTCCAAGGAGGCCGCGCGGGGGCGGGGGGGCCAAACCCAAGCGCTCAAGACATCGAGGGACGGCGTGCGCCGAGGCGGCCGCGGACGGAAAATCCCCAAAGTCGTCGTCGACGACGAC